TATGTGTAACATATTACACCTTAGACCTCATTTTAACAACTCAGCTAAGTTTTAATTACTGATTTATTATACTTTCGATTTATATTTTATTTTAGGGATTTAATGTAGTCCAAATTTCAGCCTTTTATGAAATAGGCATACATAAGAAAGAATTTTTGAAAATCAAACCCTAAGTGTGTCAAATAGGCAGATACAGTTTTTACGAAACTCTTTATTTTACGGGGAGTCGAAACATACAAAAAGTATTCTGTAAATAAAATAAATTTAAAAGTAATTTGTGTTTTTCAAAACAACCCCTGTTCTGGGTGGGGGTGGGAGGATCAGAGGAAGATCAAATTTGTATGTAGAAAAAATAATTAACAGTGTTTTAAATTAAAAACTGGTGCAAATACTTTGAATATCCATTTTCTATTTTTCCTTAAACCTTTTAAAACGAAGGAGCAAAATGCTATTATTTAAACACACAACCCAAATCGCTAGACGTGGAATCATGAGATTGGGGTAGTAGTTCCTTTTTATTGCGTAGGCATCCTATAAGAAAGGCTTTTAAAAATTGTATGCTAGGTCATCCGACCCAGGTATGTAAGCTTGGAATACAAATTTAATCAAAATAATTCATGCTGTCTAATTTATCAATGCAATGCATTGCAATGCAAAATTCATGCTAGGTATATATAAATCTATATATATAAATATTATTAAAAGATTACTGAACATTTATTAGTTACTTAGTTTTACCTTAACTATACTTGACTGGCTTTGACTTCATTGCAGAAATGATGTTAAATCGTAGTATTGACAATTTGTCGTAAGATTAACTTAATGAAGCATTACATAAAATGTAAGAATAACACTTAAAATAATTATAATTAAATATTTTATGTATGAAATTAAAGTAATAGAACCACGCTTTGTTGATTGGCACAACTTTCTTCAACAGAGTATTTTTACAGAATATTACTATCGATGTAGTAGAGTCATGCTGAGGTATGTTGTAGTTGTAATATGTCACCTTGACAGGGGAAGGACAATGCTCTTCCGGAGCGCTTAAAGCTGTTGTATAAAACTTGAGATCCTTTTTTAATGGAAACGAGGCATTCCATCTTAGTCCTCAGAGGTGACAATGCATCTGCTTTTCGATTTTTAATCGATGATAGATGTAAATGTGCATGGACCTGTGCCGCAGCATCCCCTTACTATAAGGTGGGCTGTGTGCTCGTTTGTCACTCTTATTATATAAAAATTAACATGTTAGTATAACATACTTTGCCTGTACTTTGTGAGGTGAGTGAAGTCAACCCAAGACTCTTTTTATTAGGATCTCGACTCAAATATAATATCCTCGAGGATGTCCTAGAGGATGGCATCTGACAGCGCACTTGAATTTCGATTTTTAATCAAAGATCTGTCACCTTCTAGATCATCACCAGACTTTTATCAAGCCGAGCATCAGATATCTCAATATAGCCAATTATAGGTTAGTTAGACATGACCGAAAGGGGCACAGTTAGGAGGGACACTTATTTAGTATCACTACGTGTTGTCCTATAGATACGATTCAAATGACTGATTGAGAGGCTTTCGCTTGCACAGTAGCTATGACCGGTCACAACCAATTACAGTAGCCTTTGTTTATCTATCTCCAAATAAAAAAGTGCTAATGTTTGACTACGAGGCTCCTTTTAACCTTAGCTACTCGGTGATTTTGGCAGGTGAATTTAATTGTAAATATAAAGTCTGGCACGAAATTAAAAACAATCGCAGTGGCATTGATCTATCAGCCCTCAAACGGTCCTGAGTTACGGGCTTTCACCGACTTCCTGCATGTCTTACCAAGTCATTTACTTTAAAGTTGTGAGTCCAACAACTTTAAGGTAAACTAAACTGTCGAAAACTGTATAGCATTAAAACTTTGTAGTAATGCTGTGCAGTTTTATTATGTGGGCAAAAGAGTTCACATAAGATTAAACTACACAGGAAAAACCCATAAACATTTTTTTTTCAGTAAATTAAAATTGAAGCTTATAGATTGTTATCTTTTAACGTCTCCGATAGTGTTGACCGATGCTATGTTGGCGTCGTTAACGTCTAAAATGAATGTTTAGTGCTACACATTGACACTGGAACATTCATGACAGTTTTGATTACTTTCCACACAGAGAGGTAAATCAGGGTAGCTTGAGCAATCAAATCTACATATTCAACAAAGGATTGATTTGAGACCGAATTACACGCTTCAATTGTCCAAAGCAGAGACGCGTTCCAGAGAAGCATCTTCAAATGCCCCGAGCACAATAATTGAATGTGATAATTATTTATCACGCACACGCAACACACGCACAGGCACCACAGGCACACGTACACGCTAACGCACACGCACATACACACACACACACACACACACACACACACACACACACACAAACGCGCGCGCGCGCATGTATATGTGCGCACGTAAACGCACACGTCCGCGAATAATAAATTATAGGTACATTCATATCAATTTATTCTTATTAACACGCTTTTATTCGTTTCACATGTATCTATTTAGATATCTATCTATGTAACGAAATCTTTTAATGTAATTTTCGCCAACGTGTAGAAGCTAAATTGATTTGAAAATTTGTACTCGTATCAAGGTTTGATGAAAATACATCAATTTGATAACTTCATACTAGTATCCTGGTCGGAATCACCAGGATTATTCTCTCTAGAATCATCTCGGCTCACGATCAATGAGTGTTTTTAAAGCTTTCTTAAGTTTTAATATATATTTTTTCATTATTTACTAATGTTCTTACTTTTATAATTCAAATAATTAGGAAATGCTTTTTCGCAGAATCCGTCCATTTGCAACCTCTTACTCTGTTCCATGCAAATATAAGAGCGCTTGAAGTTGATTCAGATTACCTTTGTAAGCCGCTTTAAATTCAACTTTCATGGCTTTGGAGACATCATTAAATTAGTTAATTAAATGTATTCTACATAAAATATTATATTAAGTTTTCTGTAATTTTCGAAACGCATACCTCCGCAAACAGAAGCAACGAAAGTTTTGAACCTCAGCTAAAATCTAGGATTAGGTGCTGGTTTATCTCTGGGCCTGTGGTCTCTGCGTAAGGACTCGGCGGGGGGGGGGGGGCATTACGCAGGTGGTGTCAGAGGCCGTGGAGAAAGGTGCGTCATGTATTCCTGGTGCACAAGCAAAACGGAGAGAAATAGAGTGGAGAGGAGAAGCTGCTATAGGGCGGCCGGCGCTGGTAGAGCAGCGGATGAATGCGAAAGTTTTCCCGTGGCCCTGTGAGTCCAACATAACTCGTCGTTGCCCCCCGCCACACGGAATTTTTTTCCAAACCGAAATTTTGATTATTAAAGACGCGACTTCAAATATAATTTTGGCTCGATGAAGTGTTTGAGAAAAATATTAACACGACCGGTGTAAAAAGCATCACCAGTGTTACAACCAATAACAACAACATGTAATTGATATACAAAAGAAGCAGCGTAGGTGATAGCACGCAGCCTTGTGGGATACTAGCATTAATTCATCACAACGCGGGATGGTCGGCGGTTTGAACCCCTATCATCGAGAGTCGAATTGGACTCAAAAAATAACATAAATTATCGACTTTCTTCTTTGCGGCATTGCCCAGTGTGTTTTTCTGCCAGTCCAGAGATAGAACAGATGGCTGAAAGAAGTTCCATTGGATAGCCTTGGCAAAACACCTCAATAAAATTAGAGGTATAGAAGAGAGATCTTCAATAGTTTAAAATCATTTAACCTTCAAGCGGGCGCGCGGTCATTTGTAACAGGAGCGGGCGCGCGTAACCGAAAAGACCTATGGGATGAATAAGAGAAATAAAACACTAATTATTCAATATTTATTTATTTATTTGTACTCAGATATATTATTTATTCTTGCAATATCCAGAAGACGAAAGAAGAGTGTCAATGGCTATCTATTATTCTTCCTTGAAATTGAATACATTTTTGCTTTTTTTCAAATTCCTCGACACCCCCCTTTGTTTTATTGTAAAAAGTAACGATGCTGGATTTGTGTTTTTCATTTGTACTTTCATCAATTTCTGCAGCACAATGAAGTGATGTTATATCACTTTCTTTTTAGGATCTTTTCTTTTTAGGCACGTAAGATACGAGTGTAGCTATATCTGAAAATCCAAATTGACTTGAATATTCAAGTTGGTTTTCATCTATAAAGCAAGGAGGTATTTCTTTCTTGTTTTTACGTATGGTAACCACAACAGAAAACTTATAATCCTTGGGCAAATCGTTCATCTGTGGCACACTTTTATACCAATTGTCGATGGTAAGGTTTCTTCCAGTGCCATAAATTGGTGTAATTAGCCTCTTCCACGGCGTCTGCCGCAGCATTACTCAACTGATATGGGCCTTCAGGGCTGCTTGCCAGCATAAAGTTCAATACTTAGGACGTAAAACGTAGCAGCATCTACTATTGGATAAAGTTTGATTCCGTATTTGTCGGGTTTTGATTTCATGCACTTTTGGAAAGGACATTTTCCTCGAAAGCCAACCATCATCTCATCGATTACAACATTCTCTCCCACTGAATATGACAAAAGACAGTTTTTTGTAAACACATCTAAAATTTCTCTTATTGGCGCAGCTTTGTCTAGAGTACGACGAGCTTTTCGCATAGTAGCATCATCAAACCGCAATGAATTCAGTAGAAATTTTTCTCTTTTCACTGTAATAGTAGTAGGAAAAATAGGTATACCTGTCCCATCACTTGCATGTAAATCTTCTAAATTGGCGTGTGATGTCTTCAAGAATCCCGCTATGTACAACAATCCGAAAAGTGCTCGAATTTCCACCGCATCTGTCGGTTTGCAGTCACGTATTCTGTTTACTTTATTTCTGTCACCCCCAAACATTTCCTGCGAGTGCCCGCATCTTCCGTGAGAATATTTTGAACTTGACGCCTCACTCTGTTATTGTTAGATTTTTGCCACTTCGTTACTTAATCGCGCCCTGTAAAACAGCTACTTATTTCTGAAAGTGGCAAATCATCCTCTTCTGAGTCCGAGCAGTTTGATTCCTCAGCAGATCGAGGTTCCTCCGCAACGATGTGGTCGGAAGTTTCAGAGCCTTGGTCGCTGAGCTCTGATTCATTCTCTTCTTCGTCTTCTCTTAGTAATTCCTCGAGTATTACACTTTGTGGTAACCGTCTAAGCCTCATTTTATATAAAAAAATTCAAGCTTAATTCCATAATATTGAATGATGGCCGAAGAATTACTACGAGCGTGAACGAGGGTATGTCGCGTTGAGCGTCGCGCGTAACCATTTCGACGACAGGCGCGTGTAGTCTTTTCGACGACTGCACCGGGACTAAAACAATTGCGATCTGTGGAGTGGAGGGAGCACCCCGAGTGACGGTTTATTCTTTATTTTACTCCCAATGACATATTGACAAGCTACTAGAAATGAGAAATAAATGTGATGGGTAATAATAATAATAAGAACGAAAATGTACTAAGCGCGGTCGATTTGATTACGCGCGCCCGCTTGAAGGTTAATCACGTTAAGTCAATCAAAGAAAGTCGAAAGGTGTCAAACAATTCAAAGCCTTATTTTTACAATACATTTATTTGTTTTGTACCAAGAATAAAGAAAGAGAACTAGTAAAATACTTGCGGCACTTACTCTATTATTAATTAAGAATATACCAAATTTTATTTACGTATGTAGGTGGTGCTAGAAAAGGCAAGCTTAGCGCCCACCATCCCCCTCCCAAACCTTGCAACCTAGGCTCCAGCCTGGAGCACGTACGAGGATATTTCTAGAGCCATGCATTCCTCCAAAACCCACTACGCGGTGTTGATGGGAGACTTCAACGCAAAACTAGGCACAAGAGAAGGTGGTGAGCTGAAGATAGGGAAATTTGGAGTGGGGCAACGGAACCGTAGGGGCCAGCAGCTGGCTGACTTTATGGAGAAAGAGGGACTCTTTATGATGAACTCTTTCTTCCAGAAGCGGCCCCACAGGAAGTGGACTTGGTCGAGCCCCGACGGTTCGACAAAAAATGAGATTGACTTCATTATGACAACTTTTCAGTGATGTCTCAGTGATCGCAAGGGTGAAAACCGGCAGCGATCACCGAATGGTTAGAGGCACACTGAACCTAAACGTTAAGTTGAAAGGGTCTCGTCTAATGAAGTCAACGCTCCGTCCCCCACGTGCTCTAATCCAGAATCCCGAGACTTTTCAGCTCGAGTTACGAAACCGCTTTCAGTGCCTAGAAGATTTCAATGTAATGAAAGATATGAATGACAAGCTTGTGGAAACTGTCCATGCGGTCGGAGCTAAGTTCTGCAGGACCCGCCGCAGTCGCAGCAGTCGCAAAAGTCGCCGCTGTTACGCAACTTTTATACTGCTCGTATTAAAGAAGCGATCGAGCGGAACCAGGGCTCCAAAGTCTTTGCCAGAGATCTGTCTGCCAGAAAGAGCCAACTGTCAAAGCTGAAGACTTAGTGTGGCAGCATCGTTTCCGAGACACCTGAGATTTTGAGTGAGATTTAGAGGTTCTATGGGCAGCTGTACACATCATCGTTGGAGCCACACGCAAGTGTGAGTAACGATACAAGAGCAAGTCTTACCCGACATTATTCCGATGATATCCCAGACTCAGTCTGAGCGAGATTAAAATGGCTCTCCACGACCTTAAAAACGGCAGGGCCCCAGGCGAGGATGGAATTACAGCGGAGCTTCTGAAAGCGGGTGGAACACCGGTACTTAAAGTCTTTCAGAAGCTCTTCAATTCCGTCCTCCATGGTGGCACTACTCCGGAGGCGTGGAGCAGAAGTGCGGTGGTCTTGTTCTTTAAGAAAGGCGACAACGCTCTCTTGAAGAACTACAGACCGATTTCCCTTCTGGGCCGCGTCTACGTGCTGTTTTCGAGATTCATTACGAATCGTCTCGCACGCAGACTCGACGACTTTCAACCTCCCGAACAAGCCAGTTTCCGAAAAGGCTTCAGTACCATAGACCACATACATACCCTGCGGCAGATTGTACAGAAGACCGAAGAGTAAAATCTGCCACTTTGCCTGGCGTTTGTGGACTATGAGAAAGCCTTTGATTCCGTCGAAATTTGGGCGGGGCTGCAGTCACTTCAGCGGTGCCAAGTTGACTGTCGGTATATCGAAGTGCTCAAGAGTTTGTACAGTAGGGCTACAATGGCTATCCGAGTACAGAATCAGAGCTCGAAACCTATCCAACTGCAGAGAGGTGTAAGACAGGGTGACGTTATATCCCCGAAACTCTTCACCGCTGCATTGGAAGACGTTTTCAAGCTACTGGACTGGAAAGGATACGGTATTAACATCAATGGCGAGTACATCACTCACCTTCGATTTTCCGACGATATATTCCTTATGGCAGAATCGCTGGATGACCTTAGCACTATGCTCAATCACCTCAATGGTGTCTCCCAACGGATAGATCTTAAGATGAACATGGACAAAACAAAGATCATGTTTAATGTCCATGTCTCACCTACGCCGGTAGTTGTTGGGAGCACTATGCTCGAAGTCGTTGACGAGTACGTTTACCTGACTACGTAAGTCCAACTTCGACCGAGAGGTCAATCGACGGATTCAACTCGGCTGGGCAGCGTTCAGGAAATTACGACACATCTTCTCGTCAGGTATACCTCAATCTCTGAAAACTAAAGTGTACAACCAGTGCGTGTTCCCAGTGATGACTTACGGATCAGAGACGTGGTCCTTCACTGCTGGCCGTATGAGGACGCTCAAGGTCGCTCAGCGAGCTATGGAGAGGGCTATGCTCGGAGTTTCTCTGCGTGATAGACTCAGAAATGAGGTGAGGTGAGGCTCCGCAGTAAAACCAGAGTGACCGACATAGCCCAACGGATTAGAAAGCTGAAGTGGCAATGGGCCGGCCATATAGCTCGAAGAATCGATAACCGATGGGAATGAAAGGTTCTCGAGTGACCCCCACTAGATGGAGTGACGACCTGGTAAGACATTCAGGAAGTCGATGGATGCAGGTAGCTCAGGACCGTGCTTTGTGGCATTACTTGGGAGAGGCCTATGTTCAGCAGTGGACTTGTGAAGGGCTGTAATGATGAATGATGAAATCAGGCTCTGAAAAGAAACCGATGAGGTTGACAGATTCCCAATGCTAGACAGATTCTTACGGCTATATGCTTTCCCCACCAATTAATATGCTGATATTACTTGATGGTATAGCATGTAAACAATGACTAGATAGAATGAGTATTACAATAAATCCTTATGAAAACTCCGTATCAAAAAAATATTTTATTGTTTCTGTTGGTTAGCCTCCACTCTCGCTGGGACAGAATGTTTACCATAGCTGGACTTACCTTAGCTCCAAAGCACAGGTCTACTTTATTATTTACAATATTGTTACACAAATCACTGACACTACGCATGGAAGCAAGAATAAAGTAGAATAGATTTTTTTTTCAATACTAATTACAAGAATACTCATTGAAAGTTATTTATGCTTGCAAAGGATTTTTTTCCTAGGGGAAAAACCAGCAAGAAGCCGAGTGGGACATTTTTTAAAGATTAATCTAAACATATAAATAAAATTGAAGTATATGACTATAATATCGAAATAACTGCCATTTATCGAGCTAAAAGGTTATTATCAAGACAATAATATATTATTAACTGTTTCTCAAAAAATCTGTCTGTTTGTCTATAAAGGTGTCGGTAATCATTGTTAGACTATATTTTATACGAAAAACTTGGAATAGCTGAAGAATAGATAAAATAAATGGTCATTGGTGACTATTTCAAAATCTAAACGACACTAAATTAATATATGCCAACCAGGCGAAGCCGGGGCAAGATCTATAGTGGATAGCGTACAGTAGCTTGAGTCCATTCTAGTTTTTTCCCGTATTATCACACTACAAGACCAATATGACGTATGCATAACAGTGATTGTCACCCCACTGATCAAAATCCATTGGCAAAAAAATTGTTGATGGAATCATCTACAACGAACAAAAAAAAATCTATTCTCTGGGCTGGGGCTCCCTAGTGCCAGCTCCTTTCATTTGATCGTATCCAGCGCAGAGCCGTTAGAATCGTCGGCGAGCGAGCTCTTTCCGATCAGCTTGACTGGCACTGCAAAGAGCATTTACCACACGGAGTACTCTGAGGAAATGTTAGAACCAATTTCAGCCGCTGGATTTCACCATAGCACATGGCGACAAAGATCGCGATACCATCTATAACATCTTGATGGCTGTCGGTCTACCACTGTGCGATTTAAAAGAAACTTTCTTCCTCCCACAACTTCCTTGTGGAATCGACTACCACCAGAGATTTTTCCGGACCGATACGACTTAGGGACTTTCAAGAAAAGAGCCTACTCCTTTTTAATAGACCGGCAACGCATCTGCAATTCATCTGGTGTTGCAGTTGTTTATGCGCTGTGGTAATCACTTATCATCAGGTGAGCCCTGTGCTCGTTTGCCCCCTCTCCTAAAATCCCTGTCGTCAATACTAATCCGTAAAATTCAATAGTAATCCCAATAAACAGTAGCACAACACGGCAAAACTATTTAGAATGCCAAACTTCCTGCTATTTGCTTAATAAGCCTAATTAGGATAAAATGGTTCTAACTTCAAAACGTTTCTACCCTGGTTTTTGTTTTATTTATTAGGACTCTCTAAACAAGCGAAGAAATACGGTAGGTAGATACTATATTTCATTACAATTTTTTTTTATTTTAACAATTAAGAACACCTTACACATTTTAAAAAATATAATAAAAATTACGATTGCGATGATTCTTTTAGAAACAGCCTCTAGAGGTGTTTTGAAAATTTTAAATAAACAATTTCAATCATGAAGGATTCATTTCCATAACAAATTGGACACAGGTAAAGTCACGTAAAGGGAATTGCCCACTCTTCATAGACACTTCGGCCATGGGTGCCCACATATAAAAGCATATAGATATGATAATATGCAATTAAAACAATGAAATGGTTAAGGAATTGCTTTAAAAAAAGTCGGGGTTTTGAAGATATATAAGTTTTTATTTTCACAAATGCAGTTTTTTTAACAACTATTTTTATCGATTTTATCGCGTTTTATTTCATTTATTTTTAATTCCAGACGTTTCAGGTGCTTTCCAACACCCATGGTTACGGCGGACTGAGGTGAATGACGTC